GCAGTGTTCTGAAGCTTCGGGTTCGATGGCTTCAGCAGAGGTCCAAATTGCCTCAGATCTCTGGACTTACTAACCAAAATTTGGCTCACAGCATCTGACCCCTGAAATGGTCACAAAGAGGAATTTACTTAATTTTTGTGTTTATTTAACACAGGGGAAAAAACATCAACAACACCCACAATGGAATTAAGGAAAAGGCAATTGGCTGAAAACTTTCTTAACCTCCTGGGACCTGCGTCCACATATGTGGACGTCACATTTTGGGTTATTTAGACCAAAATACTCAATTTTGCTCTACGAGGGCCTGATATCCTCTTACGAGGACATTATGCTGCTACTGTTCTATCAAACCTTTAAATGAATATCTTCATATGTGGCTCTCATGTTTCTTAGAAACTAAAATTAGGTAAAAAAAAAATCTGGTAATTCTTTGTTTTTACATTCATCAGGTCCCAATCAGCCCAAATATCAAAGGGAAATTAAAAATGCTGCCGTGGAAGAGTTCAGGTCTTAGGAGGTTAGAAATATGCGATTTATGTCAAAGAACAGGCGCTTTTCTTCACTTCAAAATGTTTAGTAGTGTCTGTAACCATGTGCCATTTTCACACATGAACTCTAGATAGTGTTGGGACACTGGCCTCAGCTGCTCTTTGCCTCTGAAGGAAACATCCTGTTTGGTTAAGGCCAGTGTGGAGGAGGCTGGATCGCCACTCACTGTGAATTCTCCAGACATATTCCCACACTGACACGTTATACAGAATCTGCACTAAGGAGCTGGCAGACGAAAGTTTCTTAAACACTGCTGTCACCAGTTAATCTGACTAATAACTGGAATATAGCTTTCTTCACTTTTAACACAACCAAACCACACATCGCTGTATATGGGACAATAACTGCAAGAGGTTGAACAAGATTCACCTTTACACTGTGAGGCAGAAAAGAAAATGATAAGACAGGACAAAGGGAAAAACAGACCCTTAGAACTGAAGAAGAAACTTTTCAAAAGAGTTAAAGAATGATATCGATTGTAGTAAAAATGTCACGTGGGTTTTACAACCACAGGGCAACTTGCCATTTGTTGCATGTACAGTTTCTTTTAAAAGGATCAGAAAAACATGCATGTATATATGTATAAATATGCTCAATAGCCCATTACATCATGTTGTGACGGTTAACTAACATGTAGATGTTTTGTGTTGTAAAACAAGTGAAATTCCTCTACAAACCTGAAATACAAAGACAACTCCACCCTTTCTCACAAAACGTAGTCAGGAGGTTTTCTTGTTTTTCTTTCCTCTTTCATAAATCAACCTGAGCTAATCCAGTTACAGAGTAACACCATAATCCTAATAATTAACTTCTTTGTACTCACGTTTCCCTTGCTGGCAGTGAGGTTCTGCAGAGCACCACAGCAGGCCTCTAGAGTGGCTTTGTTCTCGGACGATTCCAGGAGGGACAGGTAGGTGTCTATAGCTTTGGGATGGGACAACCACTTAACACCTGATGGGGGGCTAGCATCTACAGTGTCAAAGGAGAACTGAGAGAAGCAGAGAAGGCAAGTTTAAATTAAAGACTCCAACAAACAGAATAGTCTACAGGCATTGTGCTTAATGCCCACCGTCTTTTGGGCCTTGCTGCTCTTAGGGCTGAAGCATCCAATTGTGGGGCTTTTCTCAGGTTGGGCATCTCTATTTGGGTTGTAGTTGATGAAACTCACGGGGGACTCTTGCTCCAGTTTGTAGGACAAGTTATGGAGGATGCATGCACAGTTCTCCAAGGACTAAAAAACAGGAGAGAGTTCACAAAAAGTACATTAAAGGTTTTATTTTCATACTTTTGTCTGTTATGACTCATAAACAGCATAGCAGACCTATCTGATGATGAACTGGACAACAG